GAAAAAGCGCTGAAAATGTCTTTGATAGACGAAACCTGTCCGCTTATCTATATGTAATTGTTAACCCTCGCCCGCACATGCCATTTTCCCATCCTAGAACGCACATGGGAGGGGGGGGGGGTTGCCACCCCCGCGCCATTTCGTTCCGTTTGGAGATAGAGCTTCACGGTATAGACCAAAAAGATTCTTTGGGAAGAGACGAATCCAATGATACCCACTTTTACCTTCTCCGGTCAGTCATTGACCTTCCAGGTCAGGTCAAACTAAAAAATGTTGCTGTTTTGGGTCAACGATGCCGAATTGGTGCCAAGCCAGCTAGAGCCTCTTTGTCATACTATCCGACGAGGTTTATGCTGCTGAGGTCATTTCAGGTCGAGTTAGGTCAAGGTCAATAATACGTGTTTGTATGTCTGTGTGTGTCTGTGTGTATACTGGTGGGCACCGATTGTTTATGTGTCCATATTACATGAGATCATGAAATGAGAAGCTTTTATCCAAAATACAGCAAAAAAAAAACTTCACGAAAAGTAAATTTAGCTTGCCTAAAACGCAATGTTTTTTTTAGATGACCTAGGTTGACCTTTACCCTGACCTTGACATCTGTACATTGTCGAACAACATGCTCCATGATAGGTGGGAGTTAAGACTCGCAAAAAGGCCAAAATCAAGATGTCAAAAGCTCACAAAACCCATAGCCAACGCAAAATATTGGATTTTGTCATTTGGGTCATGACATGACCTGAAGTACAAGGTCATTCTCCGAAACCACAAACCACAGAAACTTGAAATTTTCAATGGACATCAAGAAAAGAAAAGACGGAGGACCACCCTTTTGGTGCAGTTAACAAGTGCGTTCACGCTTGGTGTGGGAGGTCCTTGGATCAAAGCTGACCTATGGCAGCGTTTTCCTCGGCCGGCTCCTACCCAAGAGATGGCAGTAACTGAGGAGTGTTCGCTCGGTCGTGGGGATTAACGCTGTGCCAGCCAGTGCCCCCGGCCGCAGGTATGTACACTGTACAGTATATCTAAAAAGTATGTCCCCTGGTTTGGCTCTCCCACACCTGAGGCGAATCGGTAACTTGGCTGAATCCCAGTTGCGGCACCCGGCCGCCAGGGTCGCTGCCGCGCGAGCGGCCTTGACCGCTCGCATGTCATTAGCAGTTCGGTCCCTCGCCCTCCCCATCTACACCGAGGTGGGGAGGGGAGAAGAGGGTAAGAGAGGGGAGGGAGCGGCATTTGCTCGGCACTGGGCGATACCTGGCTGACCCCGCGCTCCCTCGCTGACCTACGTCCTGCCCTCAGGCGAATACCGACTTCCTCGGCCCGTAGCGGCCGAGCAGAAAACCGAGCTCGCGGGGCGCGACCCCATTGCCCCAATCTTAAAATGGAATGCTTTCGTATTCACGGCATTAGATAATATTAATAGTGATACCAGCAGTGGATGTGGTAAAATACAGTCCAAAACAAACGGAAGCACACGATTGGTGCAAAATGCGCCCGCCCATTCAAATAAGGCCGCCCACTTCAATAGATAGTGTAGTTTCGTAGGGCGTAAAAGATGCAGAACACTACCGAACTTTTCTAGCTCGGCCACTGGGACCGTCAATATACAATTGACTGAAATGCATGAAAACCATTTTGCATTTAAAGGGACCCTCCCATCTTCCAAAAAATTAATGAATTGGCATGAAAGTGATGTCGCTCGGTTCAGAAATAGCAAAAACGACTATCTACCAAATTTCACCGAAAAATATTCACCGGTTTTCAAGATTTAGACTTTTACTTTTGTTTACTTTTTGGGATCTCCGCTGTTCCTAGCGAATTCATTTTGGAAGTGCGGCGTTTGCGGCAGATGTTGCGCGCAAATAGCATACTGTTAGATTCTGTTCGTGACCTGAGATGACCTCGGGGACATAAAGAGGGGTCACAGTTGCTATTTTCCGGTTCAGTGTGTCAATTTTACCTACATCTCGATGTTTGAGAGTGTCTAGAATAGCGTTCGTGCAAAAGAAACGCTTTTCAATTTTCTCCCATTGACTTATAATGGAGAGGCCGCAAAATTTACCTGACCTTAGGTCACCGATAATTCCGAGATATACATTTTATAGATATTGTTGCTCTAATCAATCGCGGAAAGTTTGAAGGCAATCGACCACTCGGTATAGCTATGACGAGCATTCTTCTTTTTTTTCTGAGGTGAGGTCACTTGGCGTGACCTGCATGGTGACCTGACCTAAGGCGACCTGGGTCTGAAATTTTCATAACATATGCGGAAAAGATGCAGGAACAGGTGTGCCAAAAACCGCAGGGGGGTGGGTGTTCAAACACCCCCCCCCCCTCCGGGCCCGGCGCGGGTTCATAGCCGTTTTCTGCACCCAAACTTTAGCCAGTGACGCCCTGTCCATTCTAAAGCAGGTGATAAATCGGGTGATTGGTCACAGCACCCGATTTTATATGAGAAAGTCGTGTAAAAAGCATCTGATCTCTAACCAATTTGTTTATTATCGCCACTTTTACAGGACGTCTATAGAGCTATGCCTTTTACATTTCTTCCTCGTTCAGGAGCAACGTTTTAACCCTCGCCCGTAAACGGTGTTTTGCCACCTTCGCCCATGCAGGGGGGGGGGGGTTGGTGCGACCCCCCCTGGCGTTTGAAAACGGAGCGTCGTAGAGCTTAGCGGAAAAGACCAACGGATTGCTCTCAACGCGATCTCGCGATTGGTGGTATATTTTTTTGGTCCTAGGTCAACATTTGACCTACTTATGACCGGTCAAAGGTCAAATTTTCTGAAAAATCTAACTTTTTCAGATTTCCGCGCCGATTGCGGCAAAACGGTAAAAGATATCGACTTTAAACCTTTACTATCGTGATCCTTGATCAATTCTCTATCGTTTGGTGTGTATTTCGATGTCATAACTCTAAAAATGATGCGTTGGGAGCATCGGAAGTCTGCAAGGTCATTTGTGCATTGGGTCACGTCAGGCGTGTGACGTCACTGACCTGACCCTGACCCAAAATGGACTACAAGAAACAACCGACGATGCCTGAAATGGATAGCAAATTCGAATTCAGGGCATCAAAATACCCCGAAAAGACATACAAGTGCAAGAAGTCATTACAGGTCAACCGAGGTCAATGACCTGACCTTGACCTTTAGTAACCTTGAAAAGGTCAACGGACATTGTGCCAATGTCAAATCAGCCAGTTATGATTCTAAAACAATCCATCAGTGTGTCAGGTCAGTCGGCATTTATACCAATGTGAAGCAATCTCCAATTTAGCCTAAATCTGGCCGGAGGTTGTTCCCTTTATGACGTCATAACTCCGTGACCTGACATGACCTTGACAGAAAAATACCAAAAGTTGCGCAAAGGATGCCCCATAAGGTACTGAAAATTTGAGCAGGCTATCTGAAACGGTTCGGCGTGTAGCTAAGAAAAAATCTCAGGGGGGGGTGCACCAACCCCCCCCCTACATGGGCGAGGGTTCCCTCGCCCGTAAACGGTGTTTTGCCACCTTCGCCCATGCAGGGGGGGGGGGTTGGTGCGATCCCCCTGGCGTTTGACAACGGAGCGTCGTAGAGCTTAGGGGAAATGACCAACGGATTGCTCGCAACGAGATCTCGCGATTGGTGGTATATTTTTTGGTCCTAGGCCAATATTTGACCTACTTATGACCGGCCAAAGGTCAAATTTTCGGAAAAATCTAACCTTTTCAGCTCTCCGCGCCGATTGCGGCAAAACGGTAAGAGATATCGACTTTAAACCTTCACTATCGTGGTCCTTGATCAAGTCTCTATCGTTTGGTGTGTATTTCGATGTCATAACTCTAAAAATGATGCGTTGGGAGCATCGGAAGTCTGCAAGGTCATTTGTGCATTGGGTCACGTCAGGCGTGTGACGTCACTGACCTGACCCTGACCCAAAATGAACTACAAGAAATATTCGACGATGTCTGAAATGGATAGCAAATTCGAATTCAGGGCATCAAAATACCCCGAAAAGGCATACAAGTGCAAAAAGTCATTACAGTTCAACCGAGGTCACTGACCTTACCTTGACCTTTAGTAACCTTCAAAATGTCAACGGACATTGTGCCAATGTCAAACCAGCCAGTTGTGATTCTAAAACAATCCATCAGAGTGTCAGGTCAGTCGGCATTTATACCAATGTGAAGCAATTTCCAATTTAGCCTAAATCTGGCCGGAGGTTGTTCCCTTTATGACGTCATAACTCCGTGACCTGACATGACCTTGACAAAAACAAAAGTTGCGCAAAGGATGCCCCAAAGGGTACTGAAAATTTGAGCAGGCTTTCTGAAACGGTTCGGCGTGTAGCTAAGAAAAACCTAAGGGGGGGTTGCACCAACCCCCCCTTCATGGGCGAGGGTTAACCCTCACCGGACCTTCAGGTTTTCTGAATACCGAGGGGGGCGTTGGAGGTTGGAAGTGAGGGAACAACCCCCTTCGCCGCTTCGCCCCTAATTGAGCTAGAGCCTCACAACAGAAATGATCGTGTCCGTCGTTACGAAATGCAGCGATTGGTCTCCGATTTTAAGGACTACTGGTCAGCCGATGACTTCTGAGGTCAGGTCAAGTGGCCCAAGGCACAGGTTCGGTTTTTGGTAAATAACTTCGCTAAATATGATCGCAGATCCGCGATTTTAGCAGCATCGTGTTTGTGGCTTGATAGTTTCCTCGCGTTGTGTCTTTTTCTTAATAAACTTAATGACTTAAATGAGAAACAACTAAGAACTTCAAATTCTCTGTCATTTCTGTATTTTCTTAACATTTTCACTGATAAGCCATTTTTATGACTCACGCGTCCTCACTCTGGGGCACCGCTCAGCCACTCACATAAAATAAGTTCATTCACCCGCCACACTTTCAATAAAAACAGTTCTTTTCTCATCAACATTTCCCCCCGACACTGAATGAGCACGTCATTCAGAACACTACGTGCCGGAACATCGACCGGCCATTCATGAGCTCTCAGTTACTTCAGTTGTCTAGCTCCAGTCGCACGATCTTGGTGACCGGTCGTTTGTACACACCCTTCCGCGTGTTCACCTCCACGACGCGGACGAGGCCGTCCTGACCGGGGAACGTCCTGGCGACTCTGCCCAGGGGCCACGAGCCTCGAGGCACCGATGGGTCTGCGATCAGCACCATCTCTCCTTCATGCAGATTGCGTGACATCTCCGTCCACTTCTGTCTTGTCTGAAGACTTGGTAAGTATTCTCTGATCCAGCGCCGCCAGAACTCTGTGTTCAGCTGCTGGAGTCGACGCCACCTTTTTCTGGCGTTCTCGGTCGTGTCAGCGTCTTCAGAGCAGATATCCAGCTGGGTGTGACCGAGCAGGAACGCTGCCGGGGTGAGCGGTGGCGCATCAGACGGGTCAGATGAGACCGCGGTCAGTGGCCTGGTGTTCAGAAGCGCCTCCGCGCGGCAGAACGCGGTCATCAGTTCTTCATCTGTCAGATTGGCGGCTTCTAAAGTTCTTCGTAGTGCCCGCTTCGCACTTTTTACCATTGCCTCGCAGCCACCATTGAAATGAGGCGCTCCCGGAGGAATGAACTTCCAGTCTACGTAGAAGTGAGTGGTTTGTCTCTTGATCACTTCTTGGTCCAGAGCTCCGACTAGCTTCCGTAGCTCGCGACTTGCTCCAACAAAATTATTCCCGTTGTCGGAGATGATATCAGACGGCCTCCCTCTTCGAGCGATGAATCTCAGGAATGCTCGCAGAAAACTGTCAGTGTCGAGTCCGCAGGCCATCTCCAGGTGCACCGCTCTACTCTGTAAGCACAGGAAGACGCAGAGGTAGCGTTTCAGCCGAGTCTTCCCTCTTCCCTGTCTGGTCTCGAACGGTCCTGCGAAGTCCACCGCGCAGTGACTGAACGCGCGGCAGGAATACATCACTTCAGCTCCAGTCTTCGGCGCCATCATCTGCTTCTCTGCCCTCTGGCTTCTTGGATCTCTTGATGCACTCTGTACAAGATCTGATGCATTTCTTGACTTCTTCTCTAGCACTTATCACCCAGAACCGCTGGCGAAGTTCCGATATGGTGTGCTCGACGCCGAGCTCGTGTTCACCCTGCTTATGCACATGACGTACCAGGGGACGGGTCACTTGATGGCCCTTTGGGAGAAGCACTGGGTGCTTCACATCAAATGGCAAGTCGCTTCTCTGGAGGCGTCCGCCGACTCACAGTAGTCCATGGTCATCTACAATCGGACACAGTCTGCGGATGCTGCTGCTTTTGAAGACTTGACCCTGTTTGCTTTCACCGGACGGGACTGCGTCTTGTGCTTCCAGCTGTCTTCGCTCCTTGGCAAAACATTCCTGAGCTCGCAGGAGCCAGAATGTCTCTGCAGAAGACATCTCCCGCCTGTCCAGTGATGATGATGTGCCGTCGTTGTGTTCATCTGGGCACTCTCCTCTTGTTAGTCTCTTCAGTTTCTCGATAAACCTTAGAACCCACGCCGTCACCCTGACCAGCCTCATCCAGCTTGAGAAGTGACTTGGGTGTAGCCGGAGGTCATCTTGAGTTTCTTTGGTCAGAGTGCTGTGTACTGTCTTCGTCTTCTTCATCTCGCTCCTGTCGAATGGCTCTGATTGTAGATCTCTTGGCATTGGCCAGTTTTCTCGCTCTTCCACAAGAAATGCAGGGCCCGACCACCACAGGTCACTGGACTTCAGAACTTCCAGTGTTACGCCTCTGCTGGGAAGATCTGCTGGGTTTTGATTTCCGGGAACATGCTGCCATTGCTCAGGATCCGTCACTTCCCGAATCTCTGATATCCGATGCGCCACGAACGACTGGAACTGCTTGACTTCATTTCTGATCCAACAGAGCACGTTGATGGAGTCAGACCAGAACAGCACATCTGATATCTGGATCCTGAATGCTGCACAGGCCTTCTTCGCCAGTCGCAGACCCAGGAGGGCAGCCATCAGCTCAAGACGAGGGATGCTGACCTTTCTAGAGCGTGGGGTGACTCTGACTTTTGCTAGAGCCAGGCTTGCGGCAACGCCATCTTCACTTGTGGTCACGACGTAGACTGCGGCTGCATATGCCTGCTCAGAGGCATCTGAGAAGGCGTGTAGCTTCTGAGCTGTAGCCTTGGAGAAGGGGTGGATGCATCGGGGCACTAATAAAGAGCTCACGCGCTCCAGCTCCGTCACCCATTCCGCCCACTTGCGCTTCATGTCGGCGGGCAGCTCATCGTCCCATTGAAGACCTCGGGACCACGTTTCCTGGAATAGGATCTTGCTTCGGACGGTAAATGGACTCATCAAGCATAGAGGATCGAAGATGGCTGCGAGCGTCTTGAGGCAGATCCTCTTGGTAGGCTTTGGCGTCATGTTCTTCTGGATAGTAGCACTGCTGCTAATGCTCAGCTTGTCTTCATCCGCATTCCAAACGACTCCAAGTGCATTGGCACGAGTTTGAGGGCCATCTTCGATAGTGAAACTTGACTCTTTGGCTCGCTCTTCTTCTGGTATGCTGTCCGTCACTGAGCTGCTACTGCTTCTTCATTTTCTTATCTTCATGCCGGCCAACTGCATCAGCTCTGTGAGTTGCTTTCTGGCTTCCTTCGCTTCATCTTCACTTTCGAATGAGACGAGGGCATCGTCCATCAACAGTGTTTGTCTAGCTCAGGCGTGTCGAATGCTATAATTTGTGTTCGGGTGAGATCAACTTAAGGTGTTAACCTCGGGTCAAGGTCAGGTCACAGCCCGTCAGGTCACGAAGCTGGTCAAAGGAGGTCATATTGCATATCAATCGATTCGGCAGGTCGTTTCCTGTCCATTAGTGGCTTTATCGACTCGGTAGCTTTAGTTGATCAGGAGTTATTGACGAAAAAATAATAGCCTTAGTAAGGTGATAAATAACGTCACGCAAGACCAATAAAGCGAAAGAGAAGCATCAGACCTTGCAAGGAGCGCATGAAATCACGATTCCGTGTGCTCTTGAGAATTTGAGATAGCTGTAGATCATTTCCGGACCAAACTAGCAATATCCATATTCCCCCTGACTTTTAATGGTGAGAGACCGAACTGATGATACTATAACCCGCACCCCAGTGGCGGTCTCAGCCAACTTCGCCCTAGTGTGGGACTGGAGGGGGGGGGGGGCATATGTTACCACCCACCTCTAACTCAAAACCTAAGAGGGCTAGAAAGACGCGGTAAAAAGCAGTCGATAGCTCTCAATGCGTACGTTTGAAAGCATTTCGGCCATTTTTCATCTTGGAGCAATATTGGGGTCACTGGAGGTCATCAAAGGTCAAAATTTGCCAAATGTCATTATATTTTTCAGAAAACATGCACTTATCTCAGAAACTGTGATGGCTAGAAAAACGCATGGAAAAACAATCGATAGATTTTGAACTCTTCTTTCGATAAGATCATCATCAAAATTGACCTCAGGTCAACGGTTTAGCATCCAGAAGGCAAAAACTCCAAAAATAGCTGTTTTTCGCAAAGCGTTTTTCGACAATAACTTTTGACTAGAAAAACGACATTTCTATTGCTAGAATCGTGTTCCTCTCGACAAGACGCGTCGAATGAACTATAACCCTCGCCCATGTAGGGGGGTGCAACCCCCCCTGAGGTCTTTCTTAGCTACACGCCGAACCGTTTCAGATAGCCTGCTCAAATTTTCAGTACCCTCTGGGGCATCCTTTGCGCAACTTTTGGTATTTTTTTGTTGTCAAGGTCATGTCAGGTCACGGAATTATGACGTCATAAAGGGAACAACCTCCGGCCAGATTTACGCTAAATTGGAGATTGCTTCACATTGTATAAATGCCGACTGACCTGACACACTGATGGATTGTTTTAGAATCATAACTGGCTGATTTGACATTGGCACAATGTCCGTTGACATTTTGAAGGTTACTTAAGGTCAAGGTGGGTCAGTGACCTCGGTTGACCTGTAATGACTTCTTGCACTTGTATGCCCTTTCGGGGTATTCTGATGCCCTGAATTCGAATTTGCTATCCATTTCAGGCATCGTCGGTTGTTTCTTGTAGCTCATTTTGGGTCAGGGTCAGGTCAGTGACGTCACACGCCTGACGTGACCCAATGCACAAATGACCTTGCAGACTTCCAATGCCCCCAACGCATCATTTTAGAGTTATGACATCGAAATACACACCAAACGATAGCGAATTGATCAAGGATCACGATAGTGAAGGTTTAAGGCGATATCTCTTACCGTTTTGCCGCAATCGGCGCTGAAATCTGAAAAAGTTAGATTTTTTTCCGAAAATTTGACCTTTGACCGGTCATAAATAGATCAAATGTTGACCTAGGACCAAAAAATATACCACCAATCGCGAGATCTCGTTGAGAGCAACCCGTTGGTTTTTTCCGCTAAGCTCTACGACGCTCCGTTTTCAAACGCCAGTGGGGTCGCACCAACCCCCCTGCATGGGCGAAGGTGGCAAAACACCGTTTACGGGCGAGGGATAATTTGACCTCAGGTCAAGGTCATGACCTGACCGGAAAAGGTCATATCGCATATCAGTCGATGCGTCTCAGCAAGACAAACACAATGAGGCCATCCCCAGCGTCCTATCTCTTTCCAATCGAGAGTTATGGGCAAAAATCTGTTTGTAGCCTCAAATGACCTCGGATGACATTTCTAGAGGCTATCAGCAAAAAAGACACCTTGGTCGTCACGGGTGGTCCAAATCATTGTGATTCTGAAATATTTGGACTGTTCCTATGCCTACACACGGATCTAGAGGCATTTTCGTTTTTCTCCATTGACTTATAATGGTAAGGTCACGCCACTCACCTGACCTTAGGTCACGGATATAAAAAATCCGAGATATACAAATTGTAGGCGCCCATAACATCATGCAATCCACCCGCGCCCTGGTGGGGTCTGTTTATAACGCGACCTGGTCGTGGGGGGGCTATTTTTGCCCCCCGTCGTATCTCCGAAACTACTGGACGGATCCGCAAAATTCAAACGGCGTTCGAAAGAAAGGAAACCAAATTTCATTGACCTTGGGGTCACCGATGATGTCACAGGTCATGTCAAAGATGAAATGTTTCACCGTTCACGGTTCTACTAGGGAATGCGCTATAACACCGAGGAAAACGCATTTTGTCGAGAATCAGAGATAGGGCGTCAGTTGCCTAGTAGATATGTTGCTATTAGAGGTCACTGACAATACTAGGTCAGGTCACAGTTCAGGTCACCAAGGGTCACAGGTCAGGTCACATGAACCCAACTTTAATAAGGTTGTGTGATGCATGTTTTATGGCCAATTTTTCATTTCCAGCTCAATGGTGTTGGTTATAAGACTATCAGGTACGGCTTAGGTCACTTTCTGGTGAAGGTCAGGTCAAGGTCAGGTCAAGGTCAGGCCAAAAAAGGTCAAATTTGAAAGTTGATAGTTTTGCATAAAATGGGTATTGATTCGATGCAGCTCGTCACGGGGAGTCTAATGGTGGTCTTTGTTTTGCACTACGGGGTCTAGAATTGCTAAAAATTGAGTTTGAAAATTTGACGTCATCAATTTTGAACATTTTTTTTCGCTATAACTTCGCCAAAAAAGGGGTATCAATATAAACTTTGGTATGTGGTTGGAAGGCGGTAAGGACTATCACATATATTCCGGTTTTTGCGAAATTCAGAAAACCTTTTGGATTTTTTGACTATTATATCTAAAAAATCTATTTTTTATTTTTGGGGGTCAAAATACCAAAATCAAAAATCCGAGATAGCAGTTTTGTAGCCCTGTCAATTCTACAGCTTTTATGTCCGTACCATTTTTCTGTATTTGCAAAGCTATAGGCCTGACAGCTCTTCCCGCGAAACCCTTTTTTGGGTCGAAAACGGCAGAACATGACGTCACTCTGACGTCATTTCCGGCCAACCTATCATAGCTTTTGGAAAAAAATTTGGTCACGATGTGTAAAATTTATGTCCGGGAGGGTACTGAAAGTTTGGTGACGATCGGCGCAGCGGTTCTGGAGATATATCGAAAAGTCTGGAGGGGGCAAAAAATAGCCCCCCACCCCACCAGGTCGCGGGTTAAGTTTAAAACTTTCTGACAAACACTGCAGGCTGGACATGATTGCAAACTTTTTTTTAGGCCTGGTCAGTTAACTTGAACTGGTGACCTGACCTGACATTACCTGGGGTCAAAAATTTCAGGATTGATTGTTCTTTGTGCCCCGAGGGCCAGTCTTTTTACATTGGTGAAAGCAGACGCTCGATAAGGAAGCGATTCAATGAACACCTTGAAGACGCACGCAACAAACGCATAGACACACCGTTTGGCTCTCATCAAAACCAACACCTACACACCCCTCTGACATGCAACAACCTGAAACTGAGCATTCTGGCTCGCGCCAAGGATGGTCCCGACAGAAAAATAAAAGAGTCCATGTACATCAGAGACCAGAGACCTACACTTAACTATGCACTTAACACCCAGACTACCTCGTGGCCGCTGACACGGCTGCAGCCTTAGAATGATATACATATATACTGTACGCGACACTTTACATAGATGATATATGACTCATAGATATATGTAAATAGATGTAAGCATTGTACATGCCACATCTGTATATATGTTAATGCTTTACATATTTTTATGTCTATGTATGATAGACCTATACATTTCTGTATAATATTTTCTCTGTATATATGTGTAGTATATTATATACATATATATATGTATATGTTGTATAATCATAAAGAGAACATCATTCAAAATGTAAATGCGTCACAAACTTTTCTGGATACATATAGTCTGAAGTGTATATAATAACAATCACATGTGAATAATTGATGATATTATGTGTAATGTATGCAGTGCACATGTAGTCGATTATGTTTGTATGTAAAGCTATTGTTTATTGTACCTATATACGTGTATATTGTAAATACGTACACTGTATACATACATTCATATTGTACCTATTCAAACTTCGCCAAAAATGTCGGTCCCTTGCGAAGTGTAGCATGAGTTTGCTATTTATTCTGCAGTGTTCTTTGTTGTTCCATGTTTAAAACGTATATGTTTTTCTGTAATTATCGCTGACGAAGCTCCAGGAGCGAAATATTCGATAACTTTAAATATAACCTTTTGGCTCCTATTTCTGATTTATATTATGAGGTTACTGGTTATTCTTATATTATTATTATTCATCATGAGCCTCAAGCAGAGTTTCAGCTTTTTAACCCTATTCCTGGCGGGCTCCGCCGGGACAAGAAACTGGCGGGGGGGGGCCGATTCGGCCCCCCCCTGAGATCTCGAGAACGAAGCAAGATAGCGACAAGCGGTAAACGGCATCGGATACGCACGGCCAAGATCTACAATTTTTACTAAGG